TTATATTTATTAAATAATATAATCTTTATATAATCTTTATATATTAATAATATACACATTTATTATAATATAATTATTCTCTCGCGAATAAAATTTGTTTTAACGAGCGTAATTGTGTAAGTTGATTTATACACTAACCTATAAAAACTGATTTCTTTATTTTTACCTAAAATATTGGAGCATTCTGCAATTGCGCACTTTACGGGCATTTTTTTATATGACCGCAATTTTATTATAAGGTATATTATAATAAACATATAATGAACATCAATAATGGGGCTCGATTCTTGACGGCGTGCGAATGAGATGCGCATACGAAAAACTATATAAGCCAGCGGCACACGATGCTTGTTTTCGTGCTGGATTGCTTGCTGGATGAAAATATTGCGTTGTGATTGGTACATTTCCGAAGATGGATGGAACTGTTCTGTCTCCCCCCATCACGGTCCGAGCGGTAGGCACCCCGCAGGGGTTTTAGTCGGTAGAAGTCCGACATAACCCCCGCCCTCCCCAAGGGGCGAGGGTATCCATGAGGATTTCCCTTGCGTGACAAAAAAAAAAGTTGCTGTACAGTGCTGTACAGTAACTACCGCCCCTATTCCCCTTCCATCGGGACTGTACGAGAGGGAATGAACAGTAAAAACTTTTGACTATAGAAATATGGAGAAATATGGACTGTCAGTACTCCATTTCTCTCATTTATCGCTGTATTGAAAAATGTATCCAACATCTTCAATAGTTTTCGAGATTTAAACTCAGCCCCATTGACCAAAGACCGGGAAATTTAAACGTATATTAAGATGTATCTATCATAATAAAAAAAGACATTTTATAGTCTATATATCATAAATGCTATATATATATATCATAAAAATATAAATAATGATTTTAGTTAATTTAGTCGATTTTATTAGATTATGAAGTGATTAATTACATAATAATTATAATATTGTTGTATCCGACCCACAAGGTTTGTGGCAGCGTCCGTTAGGCATCTGATGCTGATTTTGACATCTGAGCGAGGATTGTCCTGACGACGGAAAATCGATAAGAAGTAAACAACAAGAACAGCTGACAGAGAGTCTCCGGCAAGCTGTCATCGTAGACAGACGAGAGAATTCAGAATTATTAATTAGAGAATTATTCTTGTTTGAAGTTTGAGAAAGTTGCGCTGTATATAGTAAAGCTTGATATTCTTACGCGAGTGTTCTTCATTTACCTGAGTGTAAGTGCGAGTGTGAAAGAGAGCGCAACAATATGTAAAGAGAAGTTTGAAGTGAATAAATACAATGTAATACAAAATATCCAACAATAAAGACGAATATATATTAAAATATGTATTGAATTTGGAACATAAATACTGTCTTTTAATAAACGTAATTTAACAAACGCGAACATAATTAAGACTAACAAAAAATAATACAATTTAATATATACAAGCATAATTAAGGCGAAATAAATATAAATGTTAAAAATAATATTTAAACATTATGTCCATAACAAAACTTACTGACCTTTAAAAAGAATAGTTTTTGTTAAAGCATACCTGATAAAAGTATGGTGTATTTTTAATATGGGAGTTTTGCCGTAATGAAACAATTTTATTTTAAAAAATAAAAACAGAATTGATTTTATTAATATAAATTTATGGTTTTCCATAACACTTAACACTTCCATAAATTCATGTGTATGCATATCAAAGTTTATGAATAATATAGATATATTAATATTTCTTAAAGTATTGGAAATCATCTTATGAAAAGCATTGAAACTAGTCAACTGATTATCAAATCATACAATGTTCAATTTTGTTCGCAAAAAATTAAGTAACATTATAATCATATTTATAATATTTCACCCTAACACAAAATATAAAAATTAGATTTAAATATTAAATTTTTAACTTACCTATAATAGTAAGGCACAGAATGTTTCTTTGTTTCCTATTTGCTGTGATATTTGGATGATATGCAGTCTTACAAAACAATAAATAACCATATTCACACTTTTTGTTATATTAATTATCACGTTAATATCGCGTTAGACCAAGCTTGATAAGTGACAAAATTTTAGTTCTGGGATTCCTCACTTAAGCCAACGGCACACGGTGCTTGTTTTCGTGCTGGATTGCTTGCTGGATGAAAATACTGCGTTCTGATTGGTACATTTCCGAAGATGGATGGAAATGCACTAATCAGAACGCAGTATTTTCATCCAGCAAGCATTTTTTTTGTCATGCAGGGGAAATCCTCATGGATACCCTCGCCCCTTGGGGAGGGCGGGGGTTATGTCGGACTTCTACCGACTAAAACCCCTGCGGGGTGCCTACTGCTCGGACCGTGGTGGGGGGAGTCAGGGGAACTACGACTGCATTCCCTCCCCGAGACCCCGGCCCCAGGACTCTCATGGAGCTCCACGCCTAAGTGGAGCCAGACTGGGAGTCAAGGGCGCGGTGCCCCGGCCGATTGTCCGGCCGGGTTGGCCTTTCGGTGCTAATTAGGAGAGAGAGGACACCCGCCCTCTCTCCTCGCCCCCGCTTTCCCTCTTCCCTACTGGTGGGTAGGGGGGCAGGGGTGCGAGCCCCGGCTCCAACCAGTCCTCGCTCCCCTTCTCCCTGCCATCACCGACGCCCGGGGTGGGCGAGAGGGCTTACCCACTCTCCCACTCACCCCCATCGGTACGTCGAAGGCGTGCCCAAAGCGGCCGAAGAGGCGGCCTCCGACTAACCGGTGGCCTCTCCTCCTCAGCCGGCGCCACCTCGGGCCCGCTTCCCACCCCTGGGGAGCGCCGCCCCCTCCGTCGCTCTGTGCGACGGACTCCAGGGCCTCAATTCTGTACACGCTTACCGACAACTATCGATATCGTTAGCGGAGTTGCGCAGGTTTTCTACGATATACAAAAGCTGCGCAATACAGTTAACGACATCGATAGTTGTCGGTAAGCGTGTACAGAATTGAGGCCCTGGGGCGGCGCTCCCGCTCATCCAGCAAGCATTCCAGCACGAAAACAAGCACCGTGTGCCGCTGGCTTTAGTCGATGAAGGCACGACACATCTTGGCTACCAGTCTGAAGTTAGCTACTGGCAGTCATACTAGAAACGCAACGTTCTGATTGGTACATTTCTGTCTTTCTTATGTTACTGGATCTTGCTAAATGCAGCACGAAACAAGCATCGTCGACTTCAGACATACAGTTAGACCCCTTGCACAATGCCAGGCAACAAGCAATAAGAATAAAAATAGACCAATCACAATCGACTATTACAAGAATAATCTATTATGATTGGTCTATTTTTATTCTTATTGCCTGTTGCCTGGCATTGTGCAAGAGGTTTTATATTCACAGCTTCTATAGAATACACTAGACCGCTAACTATAGACATAGGCATGTTCCTTTTTTACTGGCAGTGCTGTCGAAATGACGTCATAACAGTACACTGCCAGAGTCGTTCCAAAATTGATTTAGTACTGCCAGTAAAATTGTGACGTCGTATTTCGGAACAACTTTCAGTGTACTGTAAACTGCAATAAACCTTCCGCGCCAAACCGTTCGTTGTGTATATATATATATATATATATATATATATATATATATATATAAAAGAACAAAGATGAATATAATTAAAGATGAATAAAAATGCGAAAATGTTAACATGTTTTACAATTATAGAAACATTATGCGAAAGCAGTGATATTTCTGACGAAGATGAATTGTTACAGTTAATATATCCTTCTGCGCGATGTATTCGACTATGCATAAAAAATTACTTTGATACTGTTCAAGAATATTCTAATACAGAATTTAAAATTCATTTTAAGTAACGTGAATTCTAATACAATATATTGTTACTTTCACATTAGACTGCTATAAAATTATAATTCGAAAAGAAAAGATTCTCTTGAAAACAGTTATCTTTTAATAGGATCTCACGTATAGATTTTAATTTTTTATTAAACACTATTAAAACACAATTAGAAAGACAATCAGAAAGATTTGGGCGAAAAACAATTTCTGTAGAAGATCAATTATTGATTGCAATATGGACTATGGCAACACCAGATTCTTATATGTATATATATATATATGTACACATACATATATACATATATACCTGTAAGAATCTGGTATATATACATATATATATTAAAATATTTTTTTAGATCTCCTTGATATATGAATACTCTTAGTTTCAATATTATGAATATACAATGTATGTTTTAATGTAATCTATCATTAATGTAATGTATTTCTTCATGGAAGCTCCGTCCATTTAAAAATTACAAAGAATCTCAAATGATTATACTAAATGTAAAAGGAAATTTTATATTTATAAAATAAATACAATTTTTATATTTTATCTTAATAGTCCATATATTTACAGAAATACTTTAACAAACTATCAAACATATTTTTATAAATAATATATTTAACTTATATAAGTGAAAAATATTTAATTTAATACTTTATGGTCCGTGATTCATTAGGAGCTGTATCCTTTGTTTCAATATATTAAAAATATAATATGTATTTCAATATGCATTTTTCACTATTTTCCTGATTATATATATATGCTTGTTTTTCATGTTAACAGATATACTTTTTTTTTTTTTTTTTTTGATAACGGTGGGGAAATCCTCATGGATACCTCTGCCTGTTGAGAAGGCAGGGGTTATGTCAGACTTTTACTGACTAAAACCCCACCGGGATGCCTACTAGCCAGGCCAGAATGGGGTAGTCGGGGGAACTACTCTGGTATTCCTTTCCCGACTTAACAGATATACGTAATCAAATATGTATTTGTATAATACATTGGTAAAGTTAACATTACCAAATCACAATGACATAATTTTGTCAACGAATCACAATATCGAAATAAGCACAATAGCAATATAATTACCAAATAGTTATATAACTACTTATATAACTAAATATTTATAGATTAAAGATAATCTAACAGTTATATGTAAATTATAATTATAAATACATATAACTGTATATTTACAATATATACATCAGATACGACACAAACATTTACTTGGTCCAGCTAACTTTAGGTATATCAAAGTGTTCAGTTAAGCTGTCCAAATGACGATTAAACTCCTCCACACGCTGTTTATGGGTTTTGGAGGCTTTTTCTTTAATCCGTTCAGTTTGCTGTAAAGAAATATGATGATTATTATTAAAAATACTTGCAAATTATTTATTAATTGCTTGAAAATTGATATGATAAATAATTCAAATATAGCTATTTCTAATTTTAGTAAATATATATATCAATAGATGGAAACTGTTACTAATTTGTAACACATAAATGATATCATCATTTAAACAAAGTATAAAAAAATAAAATAATATATCTTAAAACTAACTGACTCGTCACTGCATAACTTTTGATTGATCATATCAGGAGTAAGAAAATACATGTTAAGAATTCTTGTAAAATATGTACATTGCAATAAAATTGTAATATATTTATAAATGATATTTATAATCAATTTAGTAGATCTATAAAATAGTATATTTTCCTTTTGTCCTAACAATTACAAATTATTATAAAGTTGATATTATAAAATTGATGAATTATTATAATATATAACTCACGTTTTTGAAATTTTTGGAAAATATAATTGTATAGACACACATCCATAAAATAATTGCAATCAACTGAGCATATTTGTAAAATAGTTTGAACATTATTTTTGTTCTAACCATCTACAAATTATTGTAGAATATACTAATTAAGATGATCATGGAATAAATAGAAACTTTGCACAAAAAATCTAAGTATTTTTACTCAAATATAGTACAAGATACTTAACAATAAAAGATAATAAATAAGATATAAACTCAATATTTCAACAAACAATTCCAAAATAATATATTTTAAATGATATATTTATCTCTCCTTAATATTATAATATTATTGTGTTGAATGGCTTACCATCTTTTCTTGCATTTTTTGGAATGCCAGCTCAGCTTTTGTTCGTTTTACTTCTGTCCTTTGAGATGTCTGTTTCTCAATAACTTTCGATACTTCTATTAGCTTTTTCTTCTCATTTTTCTCTTTTCTTCTATAAAAGAGAAATTGTACATTAGTATTACAATGATGCTCTCAGAACGAAAGCGTCTCGAAGCAATGCAGATATATTGAATAAAATTCTTACTTTTTGCTCACTGGCTGGTCATTTTTCAATTTCAGCAGTCCTTTTGCAGCGTGTGCATATGGATCATCCTGAATATTTGTGGAAGGCATCGTGATGTATCGAAATTAATGTTATATACCAAAGATTAGACAAAATTACTTTTGATCTAATTTCAGAAATAACTCTTTCGTAAAAGGATCTTAACGCCGTAAATGCAGCTGTATCAATGGCGTCTGAATGGAATATTCGAGCAGTCTGGGTAGAGATGAGATATTTTTGCGCATGCGCATTAGGTTAATTTACATGCATCGTAGGACAAGCTTATCGGACGTTCCAATTGGCTGCCATATAAAAAATTTCTAGAGTGCATAGAGAAAAAGTTAAATAACCTAGAAATTCTCTAACTAATCGAAACGTCCGACAAGTGGTCTGTTTTTTTTAGCTGCACTGCGGAATTAGTGCAATAAGTTAGAATGAGACAATTATATTTTTTTCTACTTTAACTTATTGCACCAGTTCAATAATGCAGCTAAAAAGAACAGGGTAATTATCCAGTTTAGGGGCTCCGCCTTAGAATTCGATAAAAATAGACTCAATCAACGCGTTTTTTAATAAGGAGCAACTTTTTCCTTTGCGAAAATTGTCACTCTCCACTGCGAAACGAAATAAAAATAGTTAATGTTGACTGGTATAATAGGTTAGGAAACCTGTCAAGATTCCGGATGGGTTTGCAACTTTTCACGCGCAACGAGGGCGGGGTGGTGCGGAAGGGGGGGCCGAAGGCCCTCCTCGCACCCCCGTGTGTGTGTGTGTGTGTGTACAAATGTTTGAGGCATTTTTATTTATTAAACCAACGAATATTGTACACTCATTAATTTAGTAAAGCAGAAAATTTTAGTACAATTTTAATAAGGTAAATAACTTTCATCAAATGTCATTAACTTATCAGTTACGTCATAAAAAAAATTATTAACAATTAAAGATCATAACTATCGATTCCACATTTATTTTTAATTTTTTAAATTTATCTTATTAAAATTGTACTAAAATTTTCTGCTTTACTAAATTAATGAGTGTACAATATTCGTTGGTTTAGTTGGGGCGGTTCTGGATTTTTATGTCTTTGTTGGATCTTTTAGAATTTAGTAATAATAATAATAATAATAATAATCTTTTCTGTATTCATTAATTTTAGTATATTATAGACTCATCTATTTAGTAAGGTGAAGATTTAATAAATATATTAATTTATCGTTTAACTCTAAATGACACATAAGTACAGAGAGAAGTGTTGATTTTAAATTAGCGCACTTTTTACATGCACACGCAACCACAGAGTATGCGCACGTAACCACAGAGTGTACTCATGTCGCTATCTTTAGTCTGTATGACAGGTTTCCTAACCTATTATACCAGTCAACTTTAACTATTTTTATTTCGTTTTGCAGTGGAGAGCGACAATTTTCGCAGAGGAAAAAGTTGCTCCTTATTGAAAAACGCGTTGATTGAGTCTATTTTTATCGAATTCTAAGGCGAAGCCCCTAAACTGGATAATACCGATTATTCTTGTAATAGTCGATTGTGATTGGTCTATTTTTATTCTTATTGCCTGTTGCCTGGCATTGTGTTTAGGACTTTAGCAGTCTAGTGTATTCTATAGAAGCTGTCAATATAAAGCCCCTTGCACAATGTCAGGCAACAGGTAATAAGAATAAAAATAGACCAATCACAATAGATTATTCTTGTAATAGTTGATTGTGATCGGTCTATTTTTATTCTTATTGCTTGTTGTCTGGCATTGTGCAAGGGGCCTAACTGTATGTCTGAAGTCGACGATGCTTGTTTTCGTGCTACATTTAGCAAGATCCAGTATATAAGTAAGACAGAAATGTGCCAATCAGAATGAAGCGTTTCTAGTGTGCTTTTTGATATCACTAGATCCAGCACGAAACAAGTATCATGCACCATCGGCTTAACTTGATGATCCTTCTTCGACATTCGTAAAGCAGTTCAAACAACATGGGTATGTTACGACGATATTAAATAATCTTGCATTTCTGAGATATTTCTTGCAAAAATAAATATAATTTTTCGGAGAAAGACTCTTGAAAAATATATTTCAATATTTGCAAATTATTTACAAATACTTGTAGGAATACCGATAGAAATCGACTCTCCGGTGTGTCACGTGTTGTGAAACACGTGTTTCTTTATCATAGTAATTTCGATTAATAATAAGAACGGCGAAGAAACATGCTCAGAATTTTTATTTCAATGATTAGTAAATCGCTGTAAAATTTGTAAAGTAGAATTATATGTTTAAGATTAAACTACATGTAGTGCATTTGTAGGTTATGAGCACGCAATTATGACTTGATTGTTTAAACGAAAGGAAAACTTGCGGAGTATTGTACAAATATACAGTTGGTTCTCAGATGTAAACGCCAATCTTCTTATTTACTGTCGGAATTTTGAGTGTATTTTCTCTTTTCAATATAATCGAGATAGTTGGAATGTAAGACATATCCTAATCAACATATCCCTGTGTAACCAAATTTGTCATTATTTTTATATCGTAAGGTAAGCCTAGGGGTCTTCGCACTGCTCGCAAGCACGTTAATCACAGACGTGAACAGCGATGGAATGATAAGGACTACAAGAAGGCACACTTGGGAACCAGATGGAAGGCCAACCCTTTTGGTGGTGCCTCTCATGCGAAAGGCATTGTTTTGGAAAAAGTGTATGTAATAATACGATCATATAGCAATACAGTATCTGTTTCGAAGTCACATTGACCTACTAATACCTTTATTTACATTCATATAGAGGAGTAGAGGCTAAGCAGCCAAACTCTGCTATCCGCAAATGTGTCAGGGTGCAGTTGATAAAGAATGGCAAGAAAATCACTGCTTTTGTACCAAGAGACGGTTGCCTCAACAATATTGAAGAAAACGATGAAGTTCTGGTGGCAGGTTTCGGTCGTAAAGGTCATGCCGTCGGTGATATACCAGGAGTACGGTTTAAGGTTGTGAAAGTAGCAAATGTATCCTTGCTGGCACTCTACAAGGAGAAGAAAGAAAGGCCCAGATCTTAAATCGTCAATTTTCGATGTATTTATATTTTTATGTATAAATTGTTTAAAAATATAAAAGTGAGTTAAAAATGTACATAGTAGTTTAATTCTAAAACGATCATTAGAGTAGTTTTGAGCAATTTTTACAAGAATTCCTACAATGCTCATTATGCAACTGCAAACAGGTATACAATTATTTTTATATATTACAAATATGTAGACCATATAAGTTATGTGAAATAATTACATCTGGAATAGATTAGATTGTACAATTATAAATGTAAAATTAATTAGCACTATTGCCAGTCAGATCTAGGTTTTCGAGTTCCTCGTTATAAACAATTATATCTTCGATTGTCGTGCTTAATGGTGTAGCGGTTTCGAGTAATCTTCTTGTTAAGTCTACATTTGATATTTCGTTTTTCGCCTGTAGCACCTGCCAATGCGATTATGAATGTTTTATATGAGATATATGTGGGAAATATCATAAAATTACAATTAAAAATACACATGTAATTTGTACCTTCTTTAAAGTGAAAAAATTAGAGCATATCTTCTTGATATCTGAGCGAATAGAGTTAGTCACAGTCTCGTCCAAATTCCTGGATTGCACTGGCCAAGATGAAACAGTCTCAAACGCTTCTATGAACTTTTCCTCTTCTTTGTAAAACAGTGCATCCTTTTCTTCCCTTTCTTCTTTTTCTTCACTGACCAATATATCGTCGACCTGTATTCATATTTTTATAAATATATCTATGCAGAGAATGTGTGCATGCAAATAATTGACAAGATATTCATAGAATGTTAACATGATATTGCTGCACCTCTGTACATGTGTCATCAGGTATATTAGATTTTGCATCTGCACGGTTATTGCCAAGTAGTTCTTCCTCACTTTCTTCAAAATATTTGTTAGCTTCTGCATAACTTAATTTTGGCTTAACTAAAAAATAAGGTGCTTGATCGGCATCATCTGTATACATCTAAAAAAAAAGCATCTTATTAATGTAACATTACAAAAATTAGTGTTATATTCCATAGTTCCACACCTTAACAATATCCATGAGTGATTCTTCTTCTGTCTCAGTTGTGTTGACACAAGGCTCTAGGTGTACCTTTTTCATAAAATCTAATAATAATCTCAAAGTTGGAAGCTGTTCCTTCATTGGACATTTACCCTGGTGCGAAGTAAAAATTATTCATATCTTCAATATATGTAATTCTTTTGTATCGAATCATATGTATTTTTAACAACTTCTCTATTCTTGTATATATATATATATATATAAATTGTATACTTTAACATACCAGCAATAAATCCTTGTTGTTGCAGATCCCAATCTGAGAGTAATATTCAAATAGCTGATCTAAAAGGATATGTATAACATTATTACTTTTTCACCATGTACAACAATTTATTATGAAATAATAAATAGGATTGGAAGTACAAATCCATGTTCAATCGTTGAACGCAACAAGTCACAATTGTGTTATGAGAAAACATGAAGTACCTTCCAAAGCAGTGTCCTTTAATTTCCCCAATTGAACAGCGATAGCTGGCAATTTCTGCGTCAGAAGCCACGAGAGCAAGCACACGCGATTCTCATCCTTGAGTATTGTCGTACCCACGTCCTTCGACTCAACATTACTGATGTGCGGGTATCGTAGTTGCAGCAAAACATCGTATATATTTGTCATGACATCCTTCGCGTTATTCATAGTGGCAAATTGTATCGGCAAAGCCCAAAGAAAATATTCAACCTACGGGAATTGTATAAAAGCTTCTAATTATCTCAACGGTGATATTCATCTTTCGCCATTTCGTAAAAAATATCAGCAGGTAAAACGCGACGCTGTGTCTGTCATACAAGTTTTGAAGTTTCAAATAGTAAGCAAGCACGAACGATGAATTCCAAGAAGATAGCTCCTATCCGTCATAGGATGCGTTCCGTTTCATACATATGGGCGCATTTATCTATAGTTTATGTTACATAGGGCCAGAGCACAGACTTTTGCATAATGCATAATACACAACGCATAAGAGAATCAACCAATCAGAGTTCTTCATTTCCCTCCTCAGGACAGAAATGAAGAACTCTGATTGGTTGTTGACTGCAAAAGTCTGTGCTCTGGCCTATATACTATAAAAAATGCGCGCATATGCGTGAAACGGAACGCACCCATAATGAGACAAATCGGACGATGAGAAGTTATGAGACGGCATTCATAGAGATGTCGTTACGAAATTGAAAAGCAACCGAGACACGTCAATATTTTTCCCTTGAAAGATCTCTTACCCTTTCTTTTTTACTCTGGTTTCCCTTCAAATCACGCATACCCTTTCTTTTATCCTTATCGCTCTTATCGCTGGAATTTTTCGAATTTAATTTAAAGGATGGACATCGGGTTTGTATGTTTCTTTTAGTTTACTTTTAGATAAGCTGCACTTATTAAAGCTGCACTTGTATCAGTCTACGGTGCAACCTATAACTTAGAACAGACTTGTTTCTGCCGGCATCAATTTCATTTGATACTCGAGCTTCATGAAGTATGAGCCTTTGAGGTCTTGTTATCTTTGTCAAACACAAAAGCATCTATAAGATAACACAAATTCTCAACTCAAATCTCAAATCTGTTATGAGAAACCTTTCTAGACTGGATCTGGAAATCTCTGCCGATAAAACTAACTGGCCTGTTTGATAAGCGTAAAAGGTTCCATACGTTGCAATCCTTTATCAATCATAATAGATTATGGCTTCAGCTTGAGGGCTCAGTTATCCCTTTCATCCCTTATGTATCATTTCTAGGATATACATTTGACACTAACCTATCTTGGAAACCACATGCTAAAAAACTAAAAATTGCCTGTCAAATGCGCATCAATATATTCAAATCCTTTGCAGGAATTATGTGGGGCTCTCATCTTAACACGCTCCTAATGATTTACAAGGGATTAATTAGATCCCTTCTAGACTGGTATCATTATAACTGATGCTTCCACGAAGGTAACGCTGCAACAGAATACAGTACAGCTGCATCAGAGTTATTTTAGGGTTAATGAAATCCACACCTACCAACATATTATTAGATCAAGTCGCGGAATGGCCGCTTGTTTATCGGTGGAAATTTCTTGAACTCAAGACATTTATTAGGAGTTTTGCAGTTGCAAAAAATCCATTGACTCAATATATTGATGATTAGCATAGTTCTTGTGTAAATGATGTTGATCAACCTAATGAAACTTCATCTCAGTCATCTTTTTTCACCTTAATCCAATTCTCTTGGAATTTCTTTCGAATATTAAAGAACAATTTACTGCCCTCCTCTTTTGATTATCCTTTTAAGCTTAGATTCTTTGTTCCTACATTTGCACCAATTTATTTGATAGTATAAAAGTGTTCAATAGAAAGCGAGGTAATCTTTGGTTTGACTATAATAATAAAAAGATCTCGGCTGCTGGGTTGGCCAGGCATGCTGGTGGCATTATTCGTGACATGAAACTCTCTATGGAAATTTATACAGATGGATCGGTTCTAAGTGACAGCAATACTGGTTACGGGGTGTTTGCTCCGAATCCTGAATATCGGGAATCTATCCATATCTTTGATTCTAATAATATCTTTTACGTTGAATCTATGGCCATCCTCCGGGCGGCGAATATTGTTGCATCTGAAAGACCGGATAGAGTCGGTATTTTTACTGACTTCTTTAGCACGATTAAAGCGCCTAACTCCTCTGATTTGGAAGGAAAATCTCCTCGCATCATCCAAAGAATCAAGTTCGCCTTGTGGAAAACTTCAAGGGAAGGAATTTATATCATACCCTGGTAGCAGACTGACGTCAAATGACGTACTAATGACGTCTTAATGACATTAGCTAACATTAAGACGTCATTAAGACGTCATTAGTACGTCATTTGACCTCAGTCTGCTACCTGGGTATTAGCGTGGATACCAGGACATAAGAACATCCTCGATAATGAGATGGTAGAACACGCTAGGTAGGTTTTGGTGCGCGCAGCTCCGAGCCTCCCCTTGAACTCCTATCGCCCCCTTGGTTGGGGAACTATATTGACGGCTTCAAACACAAAATAAAGAATGATGCAAAAGAGTTTCTTGAGGATGAATTTACTCGTAAGGGCATAAGATACAGGGTTAACATCTTTAAACTTGCATCGAAACCATGATTCTCCAATCTGGGTCGCACCATCAGTAGATGTGTAATCACCCTTATGGTTCGGCTCCGTTCATATCATATATGCACAACGGAGCATCTAAGAAGGAAGCTTAACATAATAGATAACACTTGTCAATATGGATGGCATAACCGTGATATTGATCATATTTTGTACAGATGTCCTTTATTTGCTAATCCGACAGTTTTTTGTTAAAACTATATTACAAAGGAAATATCGCATCCAATCAGGAACTGGAAAAGTCAGCTTTCAATACCAACTTTATTTCAAGCTTTGTCGAAATATCGAGATTTCTACTGAACATTAACCAATCGTTGTGAACTGCCCTCTATGACTTAATATAACGTGTGAGTGGCGTTGGAGCATCTATTGTCTGCACAGAGCCATCTATTGAAGAAGAAGAAGAAGAAGAGCTTCACGAAGACTAGTTAAACTTAGAGATGCAGATATTGAAAAAAATATCGCGATTGAATATATTTATCAATTTTCAAAGTATTCATATCGATATCAAATAAATAGTCAAAATATCAAATAAATATCGAATAATTCTTATTTTTGCTAAAAACTTTTAAAAATCTGTATGTCCAGATTTACTATAAGTTCTGATTGGTACATTTTCGAAGATGGATGAAAATCCACCGATCAGAACGCACTATTTTCATCCAGCAAGCAATCCAGCACGAAAACAAGCACCGCTGACTTTACTGTTCATGCTTCCTTCTAAGGTCAGCGGCACACGATGCTTGTTTTCGTGCTGGATTGCTTGCTGGATGAAAATACTGCGTTCTGATTGGTACTTTTCCGAAGATGGATGGAAATGCACCAATCAGAACGCAGTATTTTCATCCAGCAAGCAATCCAGCACGAAAACAAGAACCGTGTGCCGTTGGCTTTACTGCTTACTGCCTATTGTAGACGACGCTATAGGCCGGGTCTACAATAGGTGTAGTAAGCTTTAAGCCTTAAGAAATTGGCTAACTTTATTCGATTATTCTTGTAAAAATCGACTAGAATTGATTAATTTCTTAAGGTTTAAAGCTTACTACACCTATTATAGACCCGGCCTTAGGACCATAGCATATAAATGAATTTAAGCAGTAAGGCCCCTTGCACAATGCCAGGCAACAAGCAATAAGAATAAAAATAGACCAATCACAATCGACTATTACAAGAATAATCTATTGTGATTGGTCTATTTGATTGGTTTATATTGTGATTGGTTTATTCTTATTGCCTGTTGCCTGGCATTGTGCAAGGGGCTTAAGACATAAGCAGTACGTAAATCGACCAATCACAATTGAAATTTAAAGACACCATTTTAAAACTTATGAGAATAATTGATTATGATTGGTCAATTTCTTTATTGCTTACGTCTTATTGCTTAAGTTTTTTTATGTTCATCCGCTTTATTAAATTCAGCCTTAATCGAAAATGTACAATAGTTACGTAATACTCGATTATGATGTCAATTTCTTAGGCTTTAATGTTTACGACATGTATTTTAGATTGGGGATAATGCTTATGTGAAAAATAAACACTTTTTAATAAATATTCAATAAATGTACGCCAGTAAAATATATTTATTTGATATGCTATTCATATTTTTTCTATTTGATATTTGCATATCAAAAGTGAAATAATATCGAATAGTCGATAATTTCGAATATCGATAAACATCACTAGTTAAGCTTGCTCTAGCAGGCAGAAAGTAGGACTCACCAGTTACTTCTTAACATTTAAATATTATCGGAATGAATGTTTATTTACCATGTACAAGTTAGTGCGAGTGTGCAAGCGCCTTGTAAGCAGCGAGGCGAAGGGTCGAGATAGATTACAATGGGTAACACCAGTAGGTCATCAAACCGAGGTAGTTGTATACAATCCGGTAACGAGATGCAAGGTACCGCTGATTTTGAAAACGAAGAACGTCCTGAAGTGGTACATGTGCGGCCCTACGGTGTACGACTCGGCGCATATCGGACATGCAACGTAAGAGAAAGATAAACGATTATTTCAATATAAGATAACCTACAAAGTTTTGAAAAAAATAGTCTTAAAAAACATTTGAGATAACTCACTTAGCAAATACTTCGAATACCTACAAGCGTATCTGTTACGCGACTTGTTGATGATCTAAATGACAATCACGGATAATTACGTTGTAACTGATTAATTTTTATTTCATTTTAGCACCTATATAAAGTCAGATATCATCCGTCGAATTCTGACGGACCACTTTAACATAGATGTTTTACTGGTAATGGGAATAACTGACATTGATGACAAGATAATTAAATGTGCCCTTGAGAGCAAGCAGGACTTTAAGGCTTTGGCAAGGAGATTTGAGATGGAATTCTTAGAGGACATGAATAGATTAAATGTTCGTGAACCATACATATATTGTAGAGTTACAGACTATGTGCCACGAATTGTTCATTTTGTTGAGAAGCTCATAGCCAGTGGCTACGGTTACATTTTAAAAGATGGTATGTTATTTGTCAAATATCTTTGTTCTCGGTAGCTGATGAAGATGCTTTGTTTTTATTCAATTGACTTTAACTTACAAGTTATTCTATAGGATCTGTTTATTTTGACACAAACAAATATAACAGATATGGCAAGATTTCAATTCCTTCACCCGATGCTACGCATCCAGATAAAAAGTCAACATTGGACTTTGCTTTGTGGAAAGCAGGCAAAAGTGATGAACCCTTTTGGGAATCCCCATGGGGTCGTGGTAGACCAGGCTGGCACATAGAGTGCAGTGCAATTGCAAGGTAGGTTGAGATATTTTTGTACCTATATATCTACTGTGCTTTTTTTATGTGATAACACTTGATGTTTGTAATCATATTTTTTGTAACAAAACTTTCTCAAGTACAAAGAATATGCCAAAGAACTCGGATGTCCAAGCTTCTTGAAGGACATGTACTCTCCTATGTGAGAAAATACTAATCTACATAGAAGTTTGCATTTTTATTAGTGCAGTCTTTGGAAATTCCATAGATGTGCACAGTGGCGGGATAGATCTAGCTTTCCCTCATCATGAGAATGAAGAAGCACAATCTTGCTGTTACCATGGTGTTGACCAGTGGGTGAATTATTGGCTGCACTGTGGCCACTTGCATCTGAAAGGTGACGTAAAGATGTCCAAGAGTCTGAGAAATACTGTGAGCATACGTGATTATCTCGATAAGTATTCAGCGAATCAACTTAGAACACTTTGTCTACTCTCTCACTATCGAAATGGTATGTATGCAGGTCTCAGTACCGAATTCGAGCTGTTTAATTCGCATGTAATCGATCGGATTCTATCGCAGGAATTGAATTCTCGGACGAGGTTATGCAGAATGCGGTATCCGTGACAAAAAAGATTGAGAACTTTATAAGCGACAGCGATACTTATACCGCGGGCAAGTTACAAGCTGGCGAGATTGATGAAAACCTTTTGCTCACTGTAAGTTGAGACACGATTCTCTATCTGTCCGACATACTATTGCATTTTTGCATTGGTATATGTACATATGTGAAAATATTTTAGAAAACACATTTGGTTATTTCTCCAATTTACGGATAGACCGCGGCGATAATTTGAATGCTTCTTAGACTTTACAGAATACAAGAAGCAAAGTTGACTCAGCACTAGCTGATGATTTTGACACGTCGCGGGCGATGCATGCAATTTTAAATCTCGTGGGAGTAGGAAACAAAATGTTTCGGCAGAGTGACGTAAGTTGATCGCGCGAGGGAGATTGCGCCGTCGACAATTCATGTTATTGAATGACGCTTGTACCGCACCTTTTTGATCTCTTTAATTTATAGGCATCACCACGTAGTGCCAACGTTTACGGTAGCCATGCGAGCGCTGTTGCCGTAGTTTCGAATTACGTTTCAAATACTCTTTCGAAATTCGGCTTCTCACAATCCGCATCAGCGAAAGACCGACAAGTCGAAGAAATCATTGATCATTGTCTGAGATTTAGAGCGGCCGTTAGAAACAGAGCGCTTGAAAATCCAAAGAACGACGCTTTATTGAAAGCATGCGACAATGTGCGAGAAGAATTGTCCACTTGCGGCATTCTGGTGAAGGTGAAAACTTTATTTACATACGCACGTAAAAATATTGATTTAATTTCAAATGCTGCTTTTTATTGCAGGATATCAAAGACAACTTCAGTTGGAGATGGAAGTAGCATACAAGAACAGTTATTATGAAATTCTGTTATGGATGAAAATGCATCAAAATAAAGTAAAAATATATTATAGTGATCTCATTGATTGGGAATATGTTTTGAATTTCTTTGCATCGCTGCTACTAAAATCGACGAGTCATCTCTTATTTTTTTTCTCCGATAATGTTGTCTTCAAGCCCTTCATTTTCCTCGTTTGAATCTTGTCTTGTTGTTTTATGCTACGGCATATATCCGTACACAGTGCCACATTTATCTTTGGAAATATTCTTCATCTACAGTCATGATTATGGTGTTAAATCAAGTGTTCGCATTTTCCACATTGTCAATATTGACCTGTACGAATAGTTACCTTGCTTTAGGTATTTTGTAATCCAACTTTCCGTATAACTCTTCGAATATATACTTGTTGCACACTAAGTCCACTTGTGTTTCCATTTCCGTTATGTCTACTACATCAAATGTTTTTCGATGGGAGTCAGATTTTTTAGAAGTATTCTAAAATTAATATATGATAATTGATATACAATAATTTGAAGTAGAAGTCGACAAATTTGATGAATGACGTGTCTGGAGTTAAATTTTTACAACAGAACATTAACACTATATTGATTTTGAGAAATTTGACATAAAAATTTCTTGATTTATTCTTGACATTTTATCTGAAACTATTTATACATACCCTCACATGCTTACAAGCAAATACAAAACATATTCTAAATCTTGCAGTATGATTTCCTCATATCTTTGTCGAAAGATATTAATGAACACGTTTCTGATTCTGATATTGAGGACTTGAATAAGTTCTCGCTATTTTTCGTGAAAATGAATGCTTTATTTAAAAAAATTAGCAAAGAACAGGTCATTGAAAGTATTGTCCATTGCTAGCTACTACTTTCTCCCATCTTTCTGGCAGCATACGAATACCATGTCGAAAGAACGACTCATCTTTTGAGGTTATCCGAATCGACCCATTTTTTGGCATCTTCATAAGAATGGAAGTGCTACTCAACCGCAGCCAGGCCACGAATCATCGATCGGAACAAATGGTAATATTGGTAATGGGATGGAGCAATGTCCGATGAATACGGCGGGTGGGGTAGGACTTCCCATTTGAGCGTTTCCAAGTAGGTTTTGACCGGTTTTGCAACATGTGGCCGAGCGTTGTCATGCTGCAAAATTATTTTGTCGTGTCTCTCCTCGTATTGCAACCGTTTTTCCTTCAATGCTCGGCTCAAACGCATCAATTGTAGTCGATAGCGATCTCCCGTGATGGTTTCGTTGGGTTTGAGCTCATAATATACTACATCCAGCTGATCCCACCAAATACAGAGCATGAGAGCTTGGAACCATGGATATTCGGCTTTGCCATCGATGTTGATGCATGGCCGGGCTTACCCCCCGATTTTCTACGCTTCGGGTTATCGTAGTGTATCCACTTTTCATCGCCGGTCACGATACGATGCAAAAAACTTTTCCTTTTCTGTCGTTGGAGCAGCTGTTCACACGTGAAAAAACGCCGTTCGACGTCTCTCGACTTCAATTCGTACGACACCCAATTTCCTTGCTTTTGAATCATTTCTAATGCTTTTAAATGTTTGGCAACTGTTGTGTGATCAACTCCTAATGATTCTGCAAGTTCATTTTGCGTCTGACATGGATCTTCATCGAGCAATGCTTCCAATTCTTCGTCTTCAAACTTTTTCGGTGCGCCAGAGCGTTCTTTATCTTCAACATCAAAATAATTATTTTTAAAGCGTCTAAACCAATCTCTGCATGTTGTTTCCGACAGAGCATGGTCGCCGTAAATCTCCACAAGAATTCTATGTGCTTCAGCTGCAGATTTTTTTGGAAAAAAGTAATGCAGTAAAATTCCCCGCAAATACTCTTTTTTGGCACGAAATTCGACATGTTTAACGCTATGAAAAAATATGTTGTTTACGCTTCGGCGGAATAACATATACTGTCACTTCGAGCCTAATGGTGGAGTTTCACGATGAAGTTGGCTGCAGTACTGCCCGATGCAAAAAGGCTAAGATAACACCATTTATCGGGAAACAGTAAGAACTTATTCAAGATATATTTAGAGTCAATTTCAAAGAATCCACTAAAGAACATCAATAATGGTTTTATTCTAGAAGTTGTTTTGTCCAGCTTATCATTCAGCTCTTTATTGTAACTTGCTACCCCAAACTCTATCATTTAGCAGTATATTTTCGTATCTTTGTCCCATCACAGGACGCTTCATGCTGGGCTTTATCATCATGAAACATATATTCGGATGTAGGTTTCTTCAAAGGTATAACAGTTTCACATATTCTCACGTAATATTTCGTTTGCATTATATGGTAAAAGGATTCTTTTAAATCATGCTGAAAGACAATATAAATATATACATATATATATAAATATACATATACATATATATACATATAAATATACGTGTGTGGGTGTGTTCATTTACCTTTAAATTCTTTGAAAATCATATATTAAAGTAATACATCGATGAAAAGCATATATGCTTATCAAATCTTTCATGATGCCGACGACACGTTTCGAAGCTTTGCTACCTTTGAGGACCAAAGTTTCTTTGATATCTCTCACCAATTCAGGCTCTTTTTCCAATATTAGCTTTTTTACCCTTATGGGTAGTTGATTTCCTATAATAAGAATTATATGACATTATACAATGTTTTCGATAAAAAAACAATCCAACATTACATTCCAATTTTACTTTGCATGACGAAATATCTACAAAGCGTTGTAGTGTGAATGTGAATTTTATTTAAATTACACCATTCTATTTACGGATGGCGTAATGTAGTGATAGAGCGTCACGATAAAAGTTACAAATTTCTAATATTGGTTAGAAAATTTATTAATGTTTCTTAACTTATTTTGAAAACATTTTACTTTCTTTTCAGAGCGCATATAACAACTACGTTCAAAGACCAAAATGCTCACTTAACAATTAGTGACTATTGGTCTTTATTGTTAGATCCTTAATGTTATATTTCTTTATATTTTGACCAATAACATTAGCAAATTACTCAACCGTTGTGCAACCGTTGTCTGAACGCAGCCAATGATAGCCAGTAAGAGGTCTGTTTTTTATTGCTGAACTAGTGTACACTCAGGGAACAAAAAGAAATAGATATACATCTAGGAGTTAGTGAAAGGAAGAGAAGAGAATAAGTGCAAGTTAGTGCAGCCAGTTCAGCAATAAAAAACAAACCTAAAACCTGTTCGTTTTGTCTGCACTGCTGAACTGGTACAACAAGTTGAAGTGGGAAAAACTACATTTGTCTCACTTTAACTAAACGCACCAGTTCAGCAGTGCAGACAAAACGAACAGGCCTATATAGTTACGTAGATTTCTATGCATGTGCATTAAGCAAATGCTTGGAATTCTCACTGACGTACTAATGCATTTCTACCAAATGTAGGAGTTAAATAAGAAATGGTGTATGGAGACATGCACTTCCTCCAGAGCCAGCTATAGTAAGAAAGAAAGAAGATACTGTTAGGATTAGCAAGAAAAGCAGTGGAAAAGGAGAATTTGCAGGAGAGAAGTTCTTATCAAAGACATCAAATAAAATTTGTATCTGCAGTATTAATGAAATTAATTTGTTTATTTGTTGCGTCCACAGCCAATTTATTAACCATCAGTACCAGCATTTGTTGTAAGGGTAAGGCCGGTTGCACACAGAATGCAGCAATGTTTGCCGCGTGAAGTTGATTAGACGGAAGTTAATTAGAAAATATTGCGATAGCCATTGCCAGAATGACGTAGTTGATCGTGCGAGGAGGATTGTGTCAACAGTTGATGTTATCGAATTGACGCTTGTACCGCATCTTTTTGATATCATTTTTAATTTATCGGTATTACCACGTAGTGCCGACGTTTACGGTAACCATGCGAACGCTGTTGTCGCAGTTTCAAATTATGTTTCAAATATTCTTTCAAAATTCGACTTCTCACAATCCGTAACATCAGCGAAGGATCGGCAAATCGAAGAAATCATTGATCACTATCTGAGATTCAGAGCGGCTGTTAGAAATAGCGTTTGAAAATTCAAAGAATGACGCTTTACTGGAAGAATGCGACAATGTGCGAAAATTGCCCACTTACGGCATTCTGGTGAAGGTAGAAATTTTACGGCGCATGTTGTAAGAATATTGACTTAATTTTAAATGTTGCTTTTTATTGCAGGATATCAAAGACAATTTCAGTTAGTGATGGAAGCAGCATGTAAGAACAATTGTCCAATTGTAAGTAAAAATGCATAAAAATAAAGTAAAGCTATATTATAGTGATTTCACTGACCAGGAATGTATGGCCGTGTCAAATTTCTTTGCACTGCTATAATCGGCAAGTTTTTTCTTCTGATTACTCTTCTTCTCTGACAATGTTTTCTTCAAGCCCTTCATCTTCCTAGTTTGAATTTTATCTAGATTTTCTGCTCTGACGTGTGGATCCATACGTAGTGCCGAGTTTATCTTCGGAAATATTCTTTTTCTTCTTTATCTACAGTTATAATTGTGATGTTTAAATCAAATGCCCACATTTTCCACATCATTAATATTGACCTGTACGAATACTTACCTTGGATGCTTTAGGTATTTCGCAATCTGGTTCTTTCCGTGTAAACTTGGGCATTAAGTTCACTTGTGGTCCTACTTCCACTATCTCTACTATGTCAGGTGTCTTTGAGTGGGAGTCAGATTTTTTTAGAAGCATTCTAGAATTGATACATGATAATTTATGTACAATGATTTGAAGTAGTTGACAAATTTGATGATTGTTTGTTGTGTCTGGAGTTTAAAGGTAAATGTAAAATTTTTTACATTAAATTTTTTCAACATTAACACTTAAATTTTTACAACATTAATACTATTAATTATGAAAAATTTGACACAAAGAATCTTTGATATATTCTTGATATTTTACCTGAAACTATTTATACCTATCATATGATCACAAGCTGTGAAACATAAAATATGTTCTAAACCTTGCAGTGTGATTTCTTCAACATGTTCTCGTCGAAACATATCAATAAACAGGTCTTTGATTCTGATATATGCGCAGTCAGTTTTAAAGAGTTCACCAAGGAATATCAATAGTGGTTTTATTTCAGCGGTCATTGCGAACTGCTTAAAATACTGCATGTTATTGTAATTTTTTACCCCAAACTTTATCATGTCTAGCAGTTTGTTTTTGTATGTTTGTCTCATCACAGGATTATATAGTCGTTTCTCATTGGTCAATGTCATTTTGAATGTTGTATTGTATTTGGATATAAACTCCTTCACAGGTACAACATTTTCAAATAATTTCATGCAATATTTCGTTTGCATCATATTTGCAAATATTTCTTTGAAATTATTCTGAAAGACAATATATATATATATATGTATGTGTGTATTAATTTACCTTTAAACTCTTTGAAAATTATATGCTAAAGTGATGCATCAGTGAAAAGCATGTATGCTTACCAAATCTTTGATGACTTTAACGACACGTGTTGAAGTTTTTCTTTCTCTTAAAATTTTCTTGGAATCTTTTACGAATTTAGACTTTTTCAATATAGTTTTTTTACCCTTATGGGTAGTCGGATTTCTATAATAAGAATTATATGATATTATACAATGTTTCTAATAAAAAAACAATCCAACGTTACATTCCAATTTTACTTTGCATGATGAAATATCTACAAAGCAGTATGAATGTGAATTTTATTTAAATTACTTACACTTTTCTACCTACGGATAGCATAATGTAGTGATAGAGCGTCACGATTAAAATTATAAATTCCTAATATTGTTTAGAAAATTTATTAATGTTTCTTAATTTATTTCGAAGACCTTTTACTTTCTTTTCAGAGCACATGCGAATGCGTTTAATGATCCACGTGTCAGCCACCAGGCGATTCAAACTCCCTCTTGTAAAAATTGGACGCATTGGACGCAGTTTTCAGTGCCCTCTGCGATAGACCTCGGATGTGGGCGAACTAAACGGGTGACGTCATGCGGAGTGGGGATGCGCGCCAATTAGAATATGAATTGGCGCGTACAGATAGACGTTCTTGCAACACGTTACAGCGAACAACAGCGAGCAGCAGACAAAGCGATAAATATGTATTAATATCTTATTATTAATCATTATAGAGTAGTAATAGTGTCATAATAGTAAAATAATTAACAAGTAAGTAGAAATAGCAACTAACCTATAATACATATGCACACACACAACGCCGTACGCACATATCACAAACATATACAGACACACACACACACACGCGCGCGCGCGCATACATGCATGTCCATATATATAATATATTAATAATACTAACAACTGCTATATATATATATATATTGTATATATTAACCTCATTAACCTTATTTATACCATATTAATATAATACATATATAAGCTCACAATCTTATGTAACATCTATTTCTACGATGTCAAATAGACTCGCAAGAAAGTTCCATATTAACTGTATAGTACATTTACTCTACATATATAATAAATTATTTCGTAATAATGACAATTTATTGGTACATTTTATTTTACAAATATTCTGTTAAGATGGTTCACCATATTATTACTATTTTACTGAAATAGTATTTAGAAAAATTGCGTTAACAGTTAACAATATTTTATAAATACTCGATATTTCTACAAGTAATTTGTTAAATAACACTATATCATTGTATGTTTACAAATTTCATACTGATACTGCCATTATTATTTCTTAAAAGTTATGTTATGAGGGATATTGATACGAAAAATTATTATAATGGGAGGATAATAATGTTTGACAATATCAGACGCACAAGTCGAAATCTTTCCCACTCTATAACGCACGCGATAAATTTATTTGCAACGTTAAACCGACCCTGAATCCTCATTAATGTTTTACTTAATTAACTTTCCTTTTTCTCAAGTTAATTATATAGTTAATTACATATTAAGAGATACACATTTATGCATATGACTATAATTGCATGCATATAATTGTGTGTGTGGATATGTTGCTTGTTGTTGCTCGTTATAACATTTCTCCGTGCTTGCCAATTCATACTTCAGTTGGCGCGCATCCCCACTCCGCATGACGTGATCCGTTTAGTTCGCCCACATCCGGGACCTACTGCAGAGGGCGGTACGAGTAGGTTGTGCCACTACCAAATGGGAGTTATTTCTCTCTGCCAGCCACTTTTATGCCCATTTCTACCAACTTTGGTTAACTTAACCGGTTGGTTACTCCAACGGAATTGACCAGTCACATTTGTCATTAACTAGAAGTATTAAATGCGATTGGTCCATTCCGATGGAATAATCAATCGGTTAAATTAACCACGGTTGGTAGAAACAGACATTATGCCCATTTCTACCAACTTTGCTTAACTTAACCGGTTGGTTATTCCAACGGAATTGACTAGTCACATTTTTCGTTAACTAGAATTATTAAATGCGATTAGTCGATTCCGATGGAATAACCAGTCGGTTAAATTAACCACGGTTGGTAGAAATGGACATTAGGTCCGGTTCCACAACTTACTGTAAACGAAGTTTAACTCGTTAACCCTAGTTTAGACGAAAAATTGCGTTCCACAACTGCCTTAAACCATGGTTAACGTCGATTTCTCACAGTTAAAGTTAAATCCCAAACTTTGGATGTTTAATGAATTTAAACGAAGTTTAACACTGCAGCACCATTAATTTGAGAAACAAATTTATGACTAACCCGCTTTTGGAGTTAATGGTGCCTATCATGGAACTCGTCGGAATCGATTCCGATCGAAATAATTCCGTTTCCCTTAGACATCTAGACAATAGAAATCTAGGAAATAACGGGATAAATTCGATCGAAATTGATTCCAACGAGTTCCATAATAGGTACCCAGTTGACAAATATTTTAAACGTTTGAACGCCAAAGAGATATGGCTTTAGAATACATATTATCTTCATCTGAAGATGAAGATTTTGAAAACTTAATTTATCGACGGCCAAGAAATATAAGAAGACGACCATCATATTTGGAAGCATTTGATAATGTCGATTTTCATGCACGATTTAGATTATCAAAAGAATCTGTATTGCAGTTTATGCAAATTATTGAAGTTCTAACAAAAATCAAGCATGAAATTTCTCGTAAAACAGAACAGTAAGTATATAAATTTAATTTAAAATATTGGGTTTCTTGCTTCGACAGATTATATTCTAAAACAAAGTAGCAACTATATATAAAAGTCAATTATTATGTGATAAATTCAATCAAATCAGTAATATAAACTAATTGATTATTATAACACTGGACTTCCACTTTTTAATAAATTAATACTTATATACTAATACAGCAAATGTTACTGTTGGTTAGTATTTACTTGATACGAAACAGATATATTGTTCTCTACTAGATGTCATAGCATCCAGTTTATTTCAATTTTCCCTCTTTTCACTTTTAGCAACAACTAATCATACTCTACATTTGAAAGAGAAAAGAAAGAGAAGTCCATAGACATAGTATATCTAGACTGCGCGTTTTCTCAAATTTCAAGAGTGGGGGTATAATTCTCGTAGAAAAGGAAGCACTCGGTTTTTACTGTTTGTTCTGTCTCGCAGTCACGATCGAATGGGAATAGGGGCGGTGGTTACTGTACAGTAATTGCCTCCCCTATATCCCTTCCATCGGGACTGTGCGAGAGAGAACGAACAGTAATCCTTGTGGACTACCAATTCACGTATGCCCAGATGTTTGATTCCCTTATGTAAAGCCAGCGGCACACGGTGCTTGTTTTCGTGCTGGATTTTGCTTGCTGGATGAAAATACTGCGTTCTGATTGGTGCATTTCCATTCATCTTCGGCTTAATACATACTTTTTGGGGTCAATTTTGTGCTACAGTATACAAGGGAGTAAAGCCCCTTGCACAATGCCAAGTAACAGGCAATAAGAATAAAAATAGACCAATTACAATAGATTATTTTTGTAATAGTCGATTGTGATTGGTCTATTTTTATTCTTATTGTTTGTTGCCTGGCATTGTGCAAGGGGCCTTAGCAGTCTAGTTATACTATAGAAGTCTGTGATAGGAACTGATAGAAATTTAGCTTTTGATTCGGACTGTACTAGATAAAGACACAGTGCTATTGTAGAGACCCAGTGACGCTCTCTCTCTCTATTCGCGCCTCAGACTTAGCGCTCGTTCCAGTTAGTATATATTTCAATGGTGAGCTCTTGCATCTGATTGGTGTATATTTTTAAATCTAAAGAATATACCAATCAAATGTAAAAGTTCATTGAGCGGTTGTAGTACCGAATGCAGCCAGTGGTTGCGTTCAGCGGAAAAAACTGCTCCGCTACTGTTCCGTGGCAAACGTCTCTAACTGGTACGTCTGTTCGGACCTGCCAAAGATTTAAAAGAATTCTTCAATCATGAACATTTGCTACTGAGTGGTAGCGGAGCAGTTTTCTCCGCTGAACGCAACCAATCATGCGTAGTTTCGTGATTTTCGTGCAAGCGCACTACGCAAATGCTTGGAATCCTCACTGACGTACTAATGCACGATTAAATATTAAATACTGTTAGGGCCCAGTAGAAAAAAAATGGAAAGGGAGAATTTGCAGGAGAGAAGAACGTTCCTATCAAAGAAATAAAATAAAATTAATATTAACAATATTAATGAAATTAATTTATTTGTTGCGTCCATAATTAATTTATTAACCATTAATATCAGCATTTGTTGCAAGAGTAAGGCCGATTGCACACAGAATGCAGCAACGTTTACATAACGTTATTGTGACAGAAATTGGTTAGAGAATAAGGAGTTTTTGCAATATCGTCTCTCAGATACGGTAAACGTAAATCGTGAATGCTATTGGTCGCGTACATTGCAACGTTATTTCTGAGCGAATAATATTCACAATTTACGTTTACCGTATCTGAGGGGCGGTATTGCAAAAATTCCTTAATATTTGTGATAGTCATTGGCAGAGTGACGTAAATTGATCGCGCGAGGGAAATTGCGTCGTCAACAATTGATATTATCGAATGACGCTTGTACCGCATCTTTTTGGTATCATTCTTAATTTATGGACATCATCACGTAGTGCCGACGTTTACGGTAGCCATGTGATCGCTGTTGCCGCAGTTTCAAATTATATTTCAAATATTCTTTCGAAATTTGGCTTCTCACAATCTGTAACATCAGCGAAAAACCGATAAGTCGAAGAAATAATTTATCATTGTCTGAGATTTAGAGCGGCCGTTAGAAACAGAGCGCTTGAAAATCCAAAGAATGACACTTTACTGAAAGAATGCGACAATGTGCGAGAATTGTCCACTTGCAACATTCTGATAACGGTGGAAATTTTACGTACAGACGCACGTCATAAAAATATTGATTTAATTTCAAATGTTGCTTTTTATTGCAGAATATCACAGACAGCTTCAGTTGGAGGTGGAAATAGCATGTAAGAACAATTTTCCAACTGTAGATGAAAATGCGTCAAAATAAAGCATAAATGTATTAGTGGTCTCACTGATCGGTATTATGTGGCGGCTTTGATTTTCTTTACGTCGTCGTTGCTATGATCGGCAAGTTTTCTCTTCTGACTACTTTTCTTCTCCGACAATGTTTTCTTTAAGCCCTTCATCTTCCTAGTTTGAATTTTATCGAGATTTTGTGCTCCGACATGTATGGATCCGTATGTAGTGCCAAGTTTATCTTCGGAAATATTCTTCTTCTTTTTTATCTACAGTCACAATTATGGTGTTAAATCAAGTGTCCACATTTTTCATATCATTAATATTGATCTATACGAATACTGTACCTTGACTGCTTTAGGCATTTTGCAAGCCTGCTTGAACAAATCTTCTGATGCAAACTTGTTGCGCCTGCATACTAAGTCTACACGCGGTCCTATTTCTTCTACATCTATCTTAGGTGTTGTTGAGTCAGAGTCAGATTTTTTTAGAAGTATTCTGGAATTGGTGCACGATAATTGATGTACAATAATTTGAAATAAAAGTTGACAATCTTGACAAATGTTTGACATGTTTGGAGTTCAATTTTTGTAATGGAACATTAACATTATATTGAGTGTGAGAAATTTGACAAAGAATCCTTGATATATTCTTGATATTTTACCTGAAACTATTTATACATATCCTATGCTCACAAGCTGTGAAACACAAAACATGTTCTAAACCTTGCAATGTGATTTTCTCCACTCGTTCTCGTTGGAACATATCGACAAACAGATTTTTAATTCTGATATATGCATAGCTGGTGTTAAAGAGTTCACCACAGAAGACCAATAGTGGTTTTATTCCAGAGGTGATTTTGGCCACCTTAAAATCCTGCATTTTACTATAATTTTCTACTCCAAACTCTATCATGTCTAGCAGTGTATTTTCGTATGTTCGACCTATCACAAGATTGTGTGGACGCTTTTTGTTGTGCGATGCCATCATGAAAAGAGGTGCATTATGCTTAGATGTAAGTTGCTCCAGAGGTACAACATTTTCAAATGGTCTTATACAATGTTTCTTATGTAGTATACATGCATGGGGTTTCTTTATATCATACTGAAAGAGAATACAAATACAATATAATATATGCAAAGACAATATAACACAGACAATATATACATATATATATATATATGTCTGTGCGCGTTTATTTACCTTCAAACTCTTTGAAAATCATATGTTAAAGTGATGCATTAGTGAAAAGCATATATGCTTACCAAATCTTTCATGACGCTGACGACACATTCCGAAGCTTTGCTACCTTTGAGAAACAAAGTTTCTTTGATACCTTCCACCAATTTAGGCTCCTTTTTCAATATAGCTTTTTTACCCTTATGGGTAGTTGGTTTCCTATAATAAGATTTACATGATATACAATGTTTTCAATAAAAAAAATAATCCGACATTACATTCCAACTTTACTTTGCATGATGAAATATCTATAGACTCAGTCAGAATCACAACTTTGATTCGACGTCGATAAAGGTTCAATTAATGTTGATTCAACGTTTCATCGGCCATTTCAACGTCGAATCAATATTATAGCTCTGACTGGAAAAATATTGAAGTGTAAATGTGAGTTTTATTTATTTTACTTTATTTATTTTATTAATTACTTACACTATTCTATTTATGGATGGCATAATTAATGATAGAGCGTCACAATTAAAGTTACGAACTTCTGATATTGTTTAGAAAATATATTAATGTTTCTTGACTTATTTCGAAGACCGTTTACTTTCTTCCCAGAGCACATGTAACGACTGCGTTCGGAGACCAAAGTGCTCACTGAGCGATTAGTGACTATTGGTCTTTACTGTTAGATCCTTATATTTCGACCAATAACGTTGACGAATTACTCAACCATCCAGCGTTCAGCGGAGGAAACCGCTCAGTGAGCGATTAGTGACTATTGGTCCTTACTGTTAGATCCTTGCATTCAGACCAATAACGTTGACGAATTATTCAACAGTTGCTCAACCGTTGAGTGTCATGAACGTATCTATTGGTCACGTTCAGCGGAGAAAACTGCTCCACTATCACTCAGACTGTGTTCCGATATTTACTGTCAGTACTGAAAATCTATAGTATACGTGACACAAACTATATATTTTCAGTACTGGCAGTGAATATCGGAACTCAGCCTCAGTAGCAAATGTTCATGATTGGAGAATTTTTTTAAATCTTTGGAAGGTCCGAACATACGTACCAATCAGAGACGTTTGCTATGGAACAGTAGCGGAGCATAGATATAGAAATATAGAGATGAACGTGAACTCAGTACTTAGACAAGTACTTAGGCATAGATTATTCTTGTAATAATCGATTGTGATTGGTTTATTTTTATTCTTATTGCCTGTTGCCTGGCATTGTGTTAGGGCTTAAGGCCCGGTTCCACAACTTAAGCCTGGTCTACAATACGTGTTGTAAGCTGTAAGCCGTAAGAACTCACCAATTAAGGTCATTCTACAATGAGGTTGTAGTAATATGCAGTAGGCAAATTGACTAATCACAGTCGATTATTTTTCGATCGTAAAGAGAACAATCGATTGGTCAATTTGCCTACTGCATCTACTACAACCTCATTGTAGAATGACCTTTATAGCCGATTATTTTTGTCATAATCGACTATGATTCGCCAATTCTTATTGCTTACAACTTACGACAGGTATTGTAGACCAGGCCTTACTGTAAACGAAGTTTAACTCGTTAACCCTAGTTTAGACGAAAAATTGCGTTCCACAACTACCTTAAATCAAGGTTAACGTTGATTTCTCACAGTTAAAGTTAAACTCAAAACTTTGGGCGTTTAATGAATTTAAACGAAGTTTAACACTGCAGTACCATCAATTTGAGAAAAAAATGTATGACTATCCCGGTTTTGGAGTTCAGTTGACAAATATTTTGAACGTTTGAACACCAAAGAGATATGGTTTAGAATACATATTATCTTCATCTAAAGATGAAGATTTTGAAAACCTAATTTATCGACGGACAAGAAATATAAGAATAAGACGACCATCATATTTGGAAGAATTTGATAATGTCGATTTTCATGCACGATTTAGATTATCAAAAAAATCTGTATTGCAGTTTATGCAAATTATTGCATTTCTAACAAAAATCAAGCATGAAATTTCTCATAAAACAGAACAGTAAGTATATAAATTTAATTTAAAATATTGGATTTTTTGCTTCGATAGATTATATTCTAAAACAGAGTATAAAACTATATATAAAAGTCAAATATTATGTGATAAATTCAATCAAATCAATAATATAAACTAATTGATTATTATTAACACTGGACTTCCACCTTTTAATAAATTAATACTTATATACAAATACAGCAAATATTAATGTTGATTAGTGAAACAGATATATTGTTCTCTACTAGATGTCATAGCATCCAACTTATTTCAATTTTCCCTCTTTTCACTATTAGCAACAACCAATGGGTGCATTCAATACTACTACAGCTCACTGAGCACTAAGTGAGCTCTTGCATCTGATTGATGTATATTTTTAAGTCTAAAAGAATATACCAATCGAATGTAAAAGCTCATTGAGCGCTCAGTGAGCGGTTGTAGTACTGAATGCACCCAATCATACTCTATACGTTTGAAAAGAAAGAGAAGGCTTTGACAGTTTCTTCATACAGACTATAGGTTTAAGTAAACTACAGTTAAAAACATGATGTGGAACGCGATATAAGTTTAACCATGCCCTTAAATGTAACGTCAGTTCAGATAATCACGGTTTAAACTTGATTTTGTACTGGGCCTAAGGGCCTAAGGGCCGTATTCATAATCCGGTCTTATATTTAAGATCGTTTTAAGTTTAAGTTCATCTTCAGATGCCGTATAGATCATTTCATTGGCTACAGAATATCTGAACATGAACTCAAGACGGTCTTATATATAAAATATAAGATCCGACTATGAATACGGCTCTAAGAGCACGGAGCCATTTTATTGGTTGTATCACATCTTGAGATGATATGCAGTTAGTAGGTCTGTTCGTTTTGTCTGCACTGCTGAACTGGTGCGACAAGTTGGAGTGAAAAAAACCTACGTTTGTTTCACTTTAACTTGATACACCAGTTCAGCAGTGCAGACAAAACGAACAGGCCTAGTGAAACTAACTTGCTGGTCTTTTGTAAAAGCCAAAGTTGGCTACTGTCACTTTTGGCAGCACTACCGTGCCTAAAGAGAACAAAGCTCCGAAACAAGTCAACATCTTGAGGTGAAGGTGATTCTTGGAGTAGGATACAAGAGATAGGAGTAAACGATCGGGATTGAATTATAAATAATTAGAAATTTTGCAAAAATGTGGCATCCACAACAGTCTTCTAGAGGAAGATCGACTTTTGCTAATCAACGATCCAGTAGAGAAGGTAAACTTCACTTCTCACGCAAGAAACGTCTACCGCATTCTCATCCTGTCAAAGTATTTGTTTTGGCTGTCCGTGTTTGTTTATACATTTGTAATAAGTCTCAAGTGTAAATGATAAACTTTGATGATGTAAATAATTTCACCAGAGTGTTTTATATAGTATGTACACATGTCATTTTACTAATTTAATGCAAAATCGCAATTTTACACTCATTTTGGAATATAATTTTTCAAAATTCTTTAACCTTTTGATGTACGTATAAACTTTGATTTAGTTTCTTTAAGTTTATAACAATTATATTTTACTTAAGTTAATGTATATATCTATGAGAGTTTGAGAGGTAATTCTTAAATATTTATGTTTTGTTATAAAAGAACATACACAGTCATCTCAATCTGACCGAGGAGTAGTTTTCACACCTGGCACACCTGGCATACCTGGCAGAAGACAAGGTCATCCTCCTGGACTTAGAGGAAAAGCAATAGGACTGTATTATAGAGATAGAAACAGGGAGAAAAAGGCAAATGCAAAAGTTCCAGTTCTCAAGTTACCTTCTTACTTAATTCAAAGAATCAAAACCATTTTAAATCTCTCAAACTCTGACAATTCTGCCTCAGAGCCCAATGAAAGGTCTGAGAATGACACCAAGTATAATTACATCTCTGATTCTCAGTTCAAGCAAAAGTTTTTAGGAATTGTAAATGGTAATATTCAGCGTAATATTGCCACGGCTATGAGCATGGAATCCAAATTGCAAAGGAATAGTCATTTGGATAAAGTATTGCAAGCTGAATATAACGATAAGCAAAACAAACTTAGCTATAAAAATATGTTGAAATTTCGTTTAAAGTTACCAGCTTACCAGAAGAAATCAGAAATATTACAGTTAATCCAAGATAATCAAGTTGTTGTTGTTAGCGGAGAAACTGGTAAGTCACAAAAAGTATTTGTCAATAGTGATGGGGAGATAGACATTTGTAAAGTTTGTTGTATATTATTTCCGACTGTGTGACCTTAATATTATCTTGACAATGATTATATCCTGTGAAACCAAAATTTTAGGATGTGGCAAAACAACACAAGTTGCGCAATTTATATTGGATGAACAGTTGAAGGCTGGAAACGGTAGCATTACTCGGATAGTTTGCACACAGCCTAGGAGGATCTCTGCTATTTCTGTCGCTGAACGCGTAGCTGCTGAAAGAGCAGAGCCTCTTGGAAAATCCGTTGGCTACCAAATCCGACTGGAAAAGTAAGTTATCAGAGAGAAGTCTCTCTCTGTACTGTGCATTATTTTATATAAAATGAACACAATTTCTGTAAGTTATCCATATCTTCTCTTTGTACATGTAGAGTAGCAGCGCAAGAGCAAGGCAGCATATTATTTTGCACTACCGGAATATTACTACAACTTATGAAAACCGATCCGGCTTTGAGGAATTTTTCTCACGTGATATTGGATGAGATTCACGAACGTTCCACGGAAAGTGACTTTATCATCACATTATTGAAGCAAGTTATACCAAAAGTGAGTCCTTCGATGTTTTCGCGTGATCGTTGCGTAGTCTAAAACTTGCAAAAGTTTTGAGGAATGAAATTTGTTTTTCAGAGAACAGACTTGAAAGTCCTCTTGATGAGCGCGACATTGAATTCCGAAAGGTTTTCGACGTATTATGACAGATGTCCTGTGATACACATACCGGGATTCACTTATCCAGTAAAGGAATTTTATTTAGAAGATATCTTGCTGTTCACTGGGTAGATATCGATATAATATTATTGAATTAATACGTTTGATTAATTCTGAAAATTGTGTCTGATGATCAATAATCTGATGATCTGTGCAATAAGTTCCCTAATATGTATTTCGACACACGAATATATATTAATCCAAATCACATGTCTCTCTGCTTACAGCTTTACCTTTTCCGAGGAAGAAGTCACAGGTCACAAGAAACATCTGAAAAGGTACAAAGAATTGCGAGTTAAACAGGACGATTTTATGGGTATGATAAAACCTTACATCAGGCAACTTATAAGTGAGGTAAATACGAGATGCTGTGGGGAACAAACATAATCGCATGTAGAGGTGCACGTTTTAACGATAATAATGCGCATATCAATTCTTGCATTAATGCATTTTACATAACTACGCAGAGGATATACCCGAAATACGTCACTGATGAATTGGCGAAACCGAGCAGCGAGGAGCTATCTTTGAAGCTCATAGAGAAATTAGTGAGACATATCTGCCTTACGAAAGATCCGGGAGCTATTCTTATTTTTCTACCTGGCATGATGGATATATTGCAGCTGAATAGAATGATGGTGGAATCTGGATATTATCCAAGCAGTGAGTACTTATGTCGTGATCACAATGAGGCAAATCACACGCGACGGCGATAGACGAATATTCTATTCTCAACAGGTAAGCACGTCATCTACCCTCTGCACTCACGCATGCCAACGGTCGATCAGGCGATTATATTTAAGGAACCGCCTTACGGCATTCGCAAGATAATTATCGCCACATCGATCGCCGAGACGTCAATAACTATCGAGGACGTGATATACGTGATAAATTGTGGCAAAACGAAACTCGGCAGATTTGATATACATAACAATATTCAGACCTTAGAATCGGAATGGGTATCTTTGGCTAGCGCCAAACAAAGACGCGGCAGAGCCGGCAGGTACGACGCTACACTTCGCGTCTTCCGTCGCGGTTCCAAGGAGATGCCATACTTGAAAACTGTATCGAAGAGATAATATTTTCTGCAAAACCTACGTACCTATCGTATCTGACATGACGTCTCGCTGCTATGTTATGGCTAAACTCTTTGGAGTTTATCATTCACTTTGGCATCCCTTCAAACCGGTCATAATGAGAATAGTCTATTTTACCGAATCTATGTGGCCAAATTGGAAATCTTTTTGCAGGGTTCAGAGTGGGGAGTGCTATCACCTGTACTCGAAAGCACGGGAAAAGACGTTCGATCAATATCCTCTGCCGGAAATGTTGAGAACGCGCTTGGAAGAGGTAATCTTGCAAATAAAAATCCTGCAGTTAGGGAAAGCCAAAGAGTTCCTAGCTAACGTGATGGATCCGCCAGACCTGAAGGCCATTGATCTGTCCCTCGATTTGCTTAGGACGCTCAATGCCCTCGACAACGACGAGCACTTGACACCTTTGGGCTATCATTTAGCGCATCTGCCGCTTGATCCCAGAACAGGTAAATCCTGCTTCCTGCTTGCCGTCGCGAAGTCCTGTCTTCGTGACCGGCGCGATTCGACACTGATCTCGTGCGCCTCTCACTTAGGTAAAATGATTCTCTGGGCGGCGCTCTTCTCTTGCGCCGAGCCGATATTCGCCATCGCGGCCAGTCTCACGTTTAAAGACGCCTTCTACTGTCCGCTGGACAGAGAGGAGGAAGCCAACGAGAAGAAGTTGGAGCTCAGTCTGGGTCAATACAGCGACCACATGGCGCTCGCCGAGGCCCTACAGAGATTTGAAATGGCGTATCAACACGGCGTCGCCGGTCGGTTTTGCCGGGAGTACTTCCTGTCGTACAACACGTTGAAACTCCTCTCCGAGATGAAAACCGATTTCGCGAAGTACTTGTACGAGATGAAGTTTTTGGACAGCAGCAATCCGAACAACATGAACGCAAACAGAAATTCGCATAACATGGCTCTGATAAAGGCCATCGTTTGCGCCGGATTGTATCCCAACATCGCCGTCGTCAGGTAATATTGAGTGGCTCGAAGCAATTTCTGTATTTCTATCGCGATCATGAGCGTGTCCGTCGAGAACCGGCTCTAAAGCACAGGGTTGTGTAATAACAAGTAGATCATCAAGCGAGAGAGTTGAGTCAAGAAGCTTGCTGAGAAGAAGATCGCTTTACAAGGCAGTTCACTTTTTGAAACTGCAAACCTAAGCTCGAAACAGTCGACACTTTCGCGTGAAGAATTTTCTCTTCTAATTATTTCGCCCAAGTTAAACGCTCAATTAGAAAGTTAATTGCATAGAGAAGTGTCGTTTTTGCCTGTTTAACTGCCAACTTTGACAAGTTAATTTAAACTCTCGATCGACTTAGTCCTTCGCTCGGGTTTCAACTTGACAAAGTGAATTTTATGGATCCTTAACTTTGAGTCTAACTCTTACGCGTCAACTTACCCAACCCTGCGCTGAAGATGTCGGCTGATCGGCATTAGACGTGTCGGTAGATCGTTACCAAAGAGACTGAACCGCGCTTCTTTCGTTCATAGACGAACCACGAAAAACGGAGTTATCTGCTGGACGCCGGAAGACGGCACCGTACACATGCACCCGTCCAGCGTGAACAGCAGGAGTTCCAACTTCCCCAGCCGGTACCTGACATACTTCACGAAGCAACGCTCCACCGCCATATTCTTGCACGACACCACGTGCGTGAGCATACCGATCTTGCTGTTCGCCAGGCCGAACATGTCGATAAGTACGTTCTTTTATTCGCCGATACAAGCGATTCTCTCCGCGCGTCGCAGACGCTTTACGACGTCACCTCGTGTTTCAGGGCGAGAGAAACGGAAGTGTACGATAAACTTCATCTTTTCCGATAACATTGCCTGCGACCCAGACACGGCGGAAGTAATACAGGTACGAAAATCAGTATACTCGTCGTTGCTACGCTTGTTTAAAACCCCTAAAAGCTACCATGGATGAAATTTCACCCCACGCGAATTTTGGATCTCACTGAAAAACGCAACCATACCGACAATATTTTATAGATATTTATTCACATTGTCAATAGTGACAACATTGTGATAAAACGGACCAATCCTCGCGTATACTTTGCTATAAACAATAAGAAGAAGCTAGTTTGAGGTGATATTTGATGGTAGCTTTTAGGGGTTAGGGAGAAACAAGTCCTTTCTGCGTGATATCTCGTCTAATTGTGCGTGATGATGATAATATATGTAATATGTGACGTGTAGAAACTTCACGAAGCTCTGAACACCCTGCTGGAGTACAAGGTCACGCACCCGACGACGGTGTGCTGGTCGTCGTTCGAGGGGCAACTACTCAGGTAAGCGTGTGCATCCTTCGCGAATCCTTTTGCATACAATTTCTCGCGAACATATGATTAACTCACAGGCATTTGTCGTTACAGAGCGATCATCGAGCTGGTGTCGCAGAAGGACGAGGAGATCGGCTTTGGCAATAACGCAGTTGATGACGAGTCCATGGACGATTTTTGCGCTAATTACGGTTAATGTTACACATTGGTTATCAATTCGAGTTATCAGTTAATCTATTAATTTGTACAAGTAATTTCTAAGTTTCGTTTTACGAGTCGTCAATTACCGTGTCCGGTCTGGAGGCACAATGAGGCGTGTTCTCCCCTCGCCAGACTTCAGTCTCTGCCCGAGATATCTCGCCCGTTTGTCGAGGCGAGAAGTCCCTGCGAGGTTCACGAACGCGCAGTGCTGCACGGTAACGACATTGTTAACGCCAAGTTACTCGACTTCGTTTACATGTACATAAACGTGTATCGCGGCGTTCACTACAGATCGCACGGTTAGTCGATGATGCATTTACAGTAATCACGTTGAGAAGAAGGCAAATAAAAAAGGAAAGAAAAAGAAAAAAGGAAAAGGAAAACATACACAGACGTTCATCTTTCAGATTCGCGAGCGTGCGAAAATCGTTGTTCATTCCGGAACGGTCCATCACGACATGTCGTAGCAGACGCGTGTACAAAGTGATCCGAGTGTTTGAGGGAGCAGCAGCTGCCGTCGCTTCTCATCGTTTGTCCTCGCTTGGACGTGCGAAGTGACTTAGATTTAGACCAGATCAACGAGCATCGTTCAGCGGAGGAGAAGCTCACTGCGGTGTGCAAAACGACGCGTACGCGCTCCGCGCTGCAGCGAGAGACGCGAACTTTTGACCCTCCCATACTTCACGCGGTCGTCAATAAAATACTATATCCAGTCTCCCCTCCCCCTTCGCTCTCTCTCTCTCACTCTCTCACTCTTTCTCTCGCGCTCGCTCGCTCGCTCTTTCTGCCTTGTGCCGCTTTGTCATTCATGAGCGCGTGAAACGTCGCCGTTTCTCGCCGCTCATCAGCGGCGGACTTGCAATGCGCGTCGCATGTTGCTCTTCGCTCGGCCGCACGCGCGATAATCTCCACACCGGTAATTAGTATCTCGGGAACAATGTCCGTTTTTCACGTGTCAACGACGACGTCGGCGTAGCGCCGCGTTGTACTCCTCTCTTCCGCCTTCGTCTTCTTCGATTTGCAGCTCGGAGACTTCCGCTGGATGCACCGTGACGTCGCAACGGTCCGTAGGAGCTTGCTGACAATTAAAAAAGAATATATATATAGAATTGTTGAGCAATTGTGTATATGTACAGGGTGTTTGAGAAAAGGGGTTCACGACTCCAAAATAGTACTCGCAAAATGGAGGAAAAAAGTCGCTAACAGCATGGGTCGAAAAATTGACATTGCCGGAGTTGCGAGCAATTATTTATTTTATTTCAAGGCCCCTCGTATCCTCTGATATAATTTGTCTGTCACTTATCGGTGAAGAGAGTATCACGTCTTAAGGGAATCCCTAAGAAAAAGTCTCACCGATGAATGATACGGACGAGTTACACCAAAAAATACAAAATGTCTTGAATTCTTGAGAAAGAATTTGCAATTTTATGGCGCGAAGATATGAAATGTAGAAATAGAAGGACGAACACAGGAAAAATCTCCTGCAAACTTTGTAAGCGCCAGGAACAAGTGGATCGCTTGCTTCAATTAAAATAAATATTTGTTGACTTACGAACTCTATCAGGATTTTTCTTCTCCATTTTGCGGATACTATCTGCCTATTAGAGTCCTGAACCCTTTTCCTAAACACGCTGTACATGTATATATTTTTTCTAATTGCCAGCAAATTTTTCGACAGTGCCGCATCGACACTGCTATACAGGGTGACTCGATAGTCTGAAGGCTCGCTAAGGTATACCACTTCGGAAGAAACACATCGCTCGGCAAAAGATGTTTCAGACAAGGCTCTGAAGAAGATCAGCTGAGTAACTTTTGCCCGAATCGCTCGTTTCTCCCAAGACACCCCATACAGCACAGAAAGTTGCAGCGACATTGCTGCAACGTTATAATAATATTGCAATGTTGCAGCAATATTGCTGCAATTTTTGTGTTGTATGGGAACGTTTCAGGTGTGCTCCAGACGACTCACTCTGTCTTCTAAAACGCCCTTTTTCAAAATGACCACCTTTCACATTTTGGTCTTCGGCGCCCCTCCTTCTCCTGTCCCTCCCCCCCCCCCTCTCCAAGACCCGTTTGAAAAACACGCGTAGCGCACTTCAGACTCTGCGGTGAGGCATTTTTTCATTCGCGGCGATGCGCGCCACCTTTGCGGCGTATCCTCCCACCCCCGTCTCTCCCCCTCCGCCGCGCTGCAACCGTGAGATTTTTCCCGCAAATCTCGCGATATCGCGAGAGACGACCGTGTTCGGTCAGTAAAAACGAGCCTGAGCTCTGACACGAGCTGATAGCCGCGGCGCGAGAGTGGCAAAAGAAGCGACGAGAGACAGCGAGCGAAGGGCGGCGGGGAGGGGGAGGGGGAGGCAGGCGGCAGCGGGAGAAGGCTCGACGGAGGGAGGAAACTCGCGGATACGTTCAGGCCGATACACGAGTACGGCGCGTAGCGACCGATTCAGTCTACATCCGACCGCCGCGCTGTGAATGTGTCGTGTGGTCGAGCGCGAGCGAGCATCGGGATCGAAAAAACGAAAGCGCAGAGAGCGATATCGGTGAACGGCCCGCGGTATACGCGTGTGTGTGTGTGTGTGTGTGTATGTGCGTGTACGTGCGTACGTATACACACATAACACACATATTTACGCGCGATTTATACGCGACCGGTCGACGACGTGAATCGCGATCTTATCGGACTCGATAACGGGGGCGCCTCGAGGAAGACAGAGAGAGCGAGAGAGAGAGAGAGAGGGAGGGAGGGAGGGAGAGGATGTGAGAGATATATCTGTGGTTATTGCAAGTCGTGGTGTTGAGGGGACGAGTGCATCGTCGACGGGTGGATTCGGGAGATGCGCGACGAGAGGAAGACGAGCGCCCTGGGGAGGAAGCCGAGGGACACCGACGGCAGGAGAGCTCGCCGGTTATGAGCACCGCCACGACGGTCGGGAGTAGAAGGTAAAGATCCTTTAGGAGGGAGGGACAGTCCGCGCGCGTGGCGGAAAGTAACGCGGACTAATTAACGAGGACGGGAAAGTGCGGGCGGGCGGCGAGGTATTGAGCGTCGCCGCTGCCGTAAGAATAATTAATACAGAAAGAGTAACCGGCGTAGAGACGACGGAAGGAAGGAAGGAAGGAAAGAAGGGAAGGAGGGAAGGAGGGGGGGAGCGAGCGAGTGAGCGAGATCGCGACGAATTCGCAAGTAGAACGCGATGTCGGAGGACTCGCTCTCTTGCGTCTCTGTCTCTCTCTCTCTCTCTCTCTCTCGCGCGCGCGGCAGGGATAAATAAATAACCTGATCGACGTGTCGCGGACATCGACGAGGAGCGGCCTCGTAAGATAATCCCAGCGGCTAATATGCCATTAGCTGACGGCGAGCATGTTTGCGAGAGAGTAGGAGGAGTCGCGAGGGAGAAAAAGAGAGAGAGAGAGAGAGAGAGAAAGAGAGAGAAGGAGCTCTCGGCCGGACACGGACGACTTCGCGCGGGCCGACAACTTCACGCTCTTGCGACAGGTGCGAGTATTACGGCGCCGCCGCCGTCGCTGCAGCAGCGATAATAACGCACGCGATTGTCATCGTCGTTGCCCAGAAACGTCTCTCCCGTGTCATCGTCGTCGCCGCCTACCGTTTCACGCGACGTACCTCGTGCATGCATGCACACACGCCCCCGTGCGAATTCCCCGTGCGAACGAACGTTCCGAAAACGGTACTGACGACGACGACGACGAGGAGAGGGAGGATCGCTCGCAATCGACAAGACGGAGACGCTGGTCCACCGCGCTCTCCTCCTCGAAACGGAAGCACTCGCCGTCCTCGAGACGCAGCGCGAGCGAGCGCATCTCGGCGACGGCGGCGGCGAGGGGCGAGGGGGAGGCCGAGTGCGGCCTGGCGAGCTCGCCGCTCTCGTTTCTGCCGACGGGAAAAATTGCATCGGAAAATCGAATCGGTACACGGCTATGTGCGCGTATACGTGTGTGTGTGTGTGTGTCGCGCCGCGAGAACTCGTGTCGGTGAGAGCGGGTCAGTGAACGATTGCGCACCGCCGCCGCCACCGTCGTCGTCGTCGTCGTCGTCGTCGTTGCGAGAGAGCGACGAGGAGGGAGAACGCGCTCCTCTCCTCACCTCTCTCTCTCTCGCGCGCACCCTCTCTCTCCCTCTCTTTCTCGGCTGCAATACGTATATGCACGTGCGAAAGCGAGGAGAAACGTGAAACGCGCGCGTGCGCCGGCCCGTGTGTACTCGGCGCCTCAATACACGCGCACATGTACGTAACATAATACACACACACACACACACATACGCATAAACGTGCGCGCGCGCGCCGGGGACGTCGCATATGCGCGCTCTCGCGCGCATATAGAGCCTTGCAGGTGCGCGGGTATGCGCAGCACACGCGCGCGCGATAGAGACGACAGAGGGCTGGAGGGGAGGGGAGGGGGAGGGGGCTGGAGGAAAAGAAGGAGGAAGAGGAGAAGAAGAAGCCAGTGACACCGGGAGAGGGTCGGCTCTGTTCCTGGTGTGTAAAGCGGCCACCGGGATACACCTTGTACATCCGTGTGCGTGTGTGTGTGGTGTGTGTGTATGTGTGTGCGCGCGCGCGTGTGTGTGTGTGTGCGGCAGCGCGAGGGAGCCGCGTGCGCCGGCGGAGAGATCCGCGGATATAAGCGATACGGAGTGCGCCGCGAGCTCTCTCTCTCTCTCACTCTCTCTCTGTGCCGGGCAAGAGAGAAAGAGAGGAAAAAAGGGGAAAACAAAAGTCGGGGCCGAAAAGAAATGCGGGTTCGTTGACTGCGCGGCGGCGCGCGATGGCCGCATGCTCGCGCCCGCTGCTGCTGCATAGTAGAGTGCGCGTGACAGGAGCACCGGCGAGGAGGAGGAGGAGGAGGAGGAGGAGGAGAACGATGACGACGACGACGACGATCGGGAGAATACCGACGACGACGACGACGGAGGTGCTGCCGGCTTCGGCTGCTGCGCGCTGGCCGGCGTTCGACGAAAGCGAAGCCGGGGCGCAGTGAGTCGAGTCACGTTCCGCTCGGGATACGGCGACGGCTCCGCCGCCGTACATCGCGCTACCGGCGTCGTACATCGACGGCCGCCACGACTTCACCGGGGGCCAACGGCCGCCGGTAAATCCGTCGACGCGACGCGCGAGTGCACCAGGTGCGTGCTCATCGGCCGCCGTTGGATCCGCGCTGATTGACGCCTCGCCTCGGAGCTGGGCCACTCGGACGTCGTCGTCGTCGTCGCCGCTGTCATCATCCTCGCCGTCGTCGTCTTCGTCGTCGTGGTGTGTCGGCGGTGGTGTCGTGCTGGTGAAAACAGGTCGAGTCGTCTTCTCGCCGGCTCTCGCGGAGGATCGATGAAAATTCAATTCGCCGGTTATCCCTCTTCCGCCGAACTTGTGCGCGCGCGGGCGTGAGGAAAGAAAGCCGGCTCGATACTGCCCTACAGAGAGAGAGAGAGGGGGGGGGAGGAGAGAAGGAGGCTCGCGGGCGGCTCGCGCGAGAAGCCGCGACTTCGCTCGCGGCCAGGGGAATATTAGCCTCATCTTCGAGACATCCCGCGCGCGCGATATTTCCGTCGTGGCTGCGCGAGAGCTGCAGAGGGGCGGGAGGGGGGATCTCGTAATGAAAATTTATCGTGTACGCGCGTGACGGGCGGGTCGCGAGCTCGGAGAAGCGAGCGTCGGCTCTCTCTCTCTCTCTCTCTCTCTCGGGGCGGCCGGCGCTCTCGAGAGCGAGTTGACTCCAGCCGGCTCGCAGCTCGCAGCTTTCGTGCCGTTTAATATCTCGGGAATTATCATTTCCTCGCGCGCAGCAACGTGTAGCGCGTAAAATCTATTACGCGACATTCAGCGAGGCGGTCAAGGCCGCCGCCGCCGCCGTTCGCAGGTTCTCATGATACAGTCGACCTTCATCGCATAAGCGGAATCGCTAGAAATTAAACTCGTCTCGCGCGATAATAATCGGAGATTGATTAATGTAGGTCGCGCGTGTCCGGCACGCATTGCTCCGCACGCGCGCGCCGCGCCGCCCGAAGACGCGAGAACGCCGCCACGAGCGATATCCTTCGCGGTTTCGCAAGCGCTCGCAGGCGCTCGCGTAGGATTTACATCGATATCGCTCGCGACGGTCAATTGCTCTGCGCGAGGCCCGAATATCATAAATAGGTAATGTAACCTTTTGCAATTCATACGCGCCACGCGCCCCGGTAGCAACCGCCGGGGGGGACAAGGGGAGGGAGGGGGGAAGGAGGGCATTTCGTAATTTGTTTATTCGAGCGCGCGGGAAGCGGACGAAAGTCTCGCGAAAGTCGCCGCCGTTCTCGAGAGCCTTCCGTCTCGTTCCGTCCCCGCTCCTCCTCCCTCCCACCCTCTCTCGCGTGCTTTCTAACGATCGCGGCGGGCGTAAGTTTGGAGTTACGCGAAAACAATTACGACGGCGACGGCTTTAGCGTCGAAAGGAGCAAATTGACTTTGGAACGATTCCAGCGGCCGCGAAGTCGTACGTTCTAATCGGCCGGCCCGAGACGAGCCCGTACGCGATTTTTCTCTCTCTTTCTCTCTATCTCTCTTCCCCTCCTTCTCTCTATCCCAGAACGCCAAATAAATAACGCTTTCTCTCTCCCTCTCTCTTTTCTCTCGGTTACTCCCCCTTGGCCTCTTTCTCCTCCTTCTCCTCCTCCTCCTCCTCCTCCTGCTCCTCTCTCTCTCTCTCTCTCTCTCTCTCTCTCTCTCTCTCTCTTTCTCTCTGTTTGGCACGTGGTCCCGAGTTTACGTCCACGCACCTTGTCACTTCCATCATTTTTGTCGTCTCTGTCGTTGCTCGCTTCTCTCATGCGTTCCGTGCTGTGGCTGAGACTTTTTTTTTTTTTATTACAATTTGTTCAGGTGCATCTCTACTTTCTGCGTAACTTTATTCTACGCATTTATTTTATTTCACCTTTCCTCCGCCCGCTTTTCCTCCCTGTAGCACGCAGTGCTCTCTCTCTCTCTCTCTCTCTATCGAGTAAAACTCGTCTGTCTCTCTAGACTACCTCCAAACGCGCACGTCTAAGTATATTCTAAATATAAATATACAGGGTGTTGAGAAAAGATGGTTCATAACTTTAAGGGCGGACAGCACTCGCGAAACGGAGGGGGAAAGTCCTAATGAACATGTGTCGAAAAATTAATGTCGTCCAAGTTATGAACAGTTATTTATTTTAATTCAAGCAAGTGATTCACTCGCTTTTGTACTCTCTCGTGTAATTTATCCGCCATTTGTTGGCGAAGACAGTGCCATGCTTTAAAGAAATCCCTAAAAAGAATCTCTCTTGCTCGGAATGTAAACAAACATCTATCCACGTGAGCAGTTCCTTCCTAGAGAGGGAGCTATCCTAAAATTCCCACAGTACGGTAAGAATGACATCTTACTCTAAGAAACAATCATTCACACAACTCCGACAATATCAATTTTCCGACTCACGTTTATCGGGACCTTTTCCCTCCTTTTCGCGAGCGCTGTCCGCCCTTAAAGTCCTAGACCCTTTTGTTTCTAAACACCCTATATATCTATTCACCCATTCTCCTCTCATCCCTCCCGCTCTTCCTCCCGCTCGAGTCGTGCGACCCGCGGAGCCAAGGAGGATTTTCCCGATCGCGGAGGTCGAAAGATCGACGGACTACTCGAGATAACTCGCGACTGGGGGGGGGGAGATGGGGGACGGGCGGGAAACAATTAGGAAATAATCATGAGCGATAAAATCGCCGCGTGCGTGCGCCAGTAGTCTCGCCCGAGCAGAACACATCATCGCACGGTCGTATTAAAACACCCCATCCGGCTTCCAAACTTCAAATAGGGCCCGGGATAACTTTATCAAATCCGGCACGTAATAAGGAGTGAAACGCACTGCCACATAATGTCCTGATAAAATTGTCTGAAATCGAGAAACCTGATTAAATGTCCATCGGGAG